CAGGCTCTAAAGCGAATGCGTCCATCCTGTGTAGAGCTGCATAAAATCCCGTATCTTCTGTGACTAACACTGAAAAAATAGGAGTGGTCTGTAATCATTATTGGCCTTGTAAGAAATAGACTAAGCAAGTGGGCTGCGTGTGCGGTCCTCACGTATTAGGAATAAGAAGTTGGAAAAATCAGGTCATAGTCACATATGGTTTTTAATTTTTTAAAAATCATATGTGACTGTTTATATTGATATCTGTTTGGATTATGAAATTTACAACTTTAGTAAATAATTTTTAATAATTTCATGAAATTATTTAATATGTTTTATAAAATTATTTTATTCTATATTTTGTGCATTTAAAATAATATATCATAAATTGACGATATTGTCCAAACTCAGTCTAGAATGTGCATAACTGAATAATTTTAAATCAAATTGATGCTTATTTTATAGAAAGATTCTCCATTTACTTTGCTTTTATATTTAAAATTCTTTTCATAATCAGCTTAACAGTTGTAATTACTTAAAATGAACAATATCCTTCCCTCCCCAATAAATGCTATTTGGTGAACAGCCTTACAAAAAACAAAGGCTATTAATAATTGAGGAAAATTCAAGCTACAGAATAAATAATTTGACATTATTCTTATTCTTTGGTACAAATTTACCAAACTTGATTAAAGAAATTATCATTAATAAAATCTAGTATCTAGTTTGAAATGTCTAAATTTGCATTCAGCTGTTTGAAAATTTGGGTAAATACGACATATTTTTATTGTTCCACTGCATGTATAAATCTTTGTTTACAATGAAATAATGCATTGTAATTTGCAAAAGGTAGTTAATAATGGTATAAAAACAATTAGAAAAGAGAATTATGGTAATATTTCATACTTTCCCTGTTTACAAAAATATAATTCATGTAATTTTCCTAGATTTTAAACAGTATCCACACGATGCAGACAAGTCAGTTAATAGTCAATAATTGTGTATCTAGAGTTGGATATCCTAGCTTCTTTTTCAAAATACCAGGTACAAATTTAGATAAATTTAGTTTTTTTTTTTTTTTTTTTTTTTCAAAATTTCAAACCATGTTTGAAATAAAAAAAATTTTGTTTTAAAGTAACATTATATGACAGTACAATTCTCAATATCAACTATTTCAGAATATTTTAAATGGAAGGCCTGTTCAATGAAAAGTTGTAAAAATCTGTTTCCAATTCAAAGACTTTTAATTCTATAGAAGTGAGGAGGAGTTTTCTTTAGCTTAAAAATAGTGAGATGTGCAACTGTATCTTACAGAGGCCATAGGCTTGATTCTACATATACACAACTAATTCTCAGTAAGTAGCTGAGTTTTTATGAAGTAGGATTCAAGCTAATGCGTGTTTGTTTATCCTTCACATTTTCAGAAAAAAGGTGTAAAATTTGAGACTTGCTTTAATGGTGGAGTATTTATAAAATTATGGAAACCTGTCATTAACAAAAGTTTATGTTAATTGGCATGATAAGCAAAATTAATTGAAAATGGGTAAACAATGATGAGAAAACATGAAAAAGGCAAGTTTTTTTTTTTTTTTTTCCTCTATATCCAGAACTTGTATCTCTTGTATATATTCTAACTAAATAGAGAATGGTCAATTCTTTAAACTTTTGTTTTAATGATTGGTGCAAGTTTGGGATGGGGTATCTTTCATGGCTTTCATGGCTGATGGGAAGGACTAGGTATTTTATTTTCATATATTTTTAAGGCTTATAAAAAATATATTGGCTTTTATGTATGAAATGCATTCCCCCTACCATTAATTTTGCTTTTCTACTGTGAATTTCACTTTTTGAAGAAGGTATATTGTGATTGATAGTTGTTGAATATAGATGTGATTGTTTGTTAAAGAAGGTATATTGTTATTGATAGTTATTGAATATACACTGCTGGCCACCGTAAATGCAACACCCTGAAGGAAGCATGCAAATAACATGAAATTTACAACATGTATTAGCAGAGGTGAGATATGCAAATGATTAGCATTTCAGTGCAGACGCACATCATGTGCACCTGTGATGGCACTTCAAAGCACTGTTTAAGGCTTGGAGTTTTCGATGATTTCAAGTTCGGCAATTATGTTTTTCTTGTGGTTAAAAAAAAGGGGGGAAGATCAGTTATGCCTCGTAGTAAACAGCGATCGTCGTTTGATCAAGTATCCGAGTTCGACAGAGGAAAGATAGTGGCCTACCGAGAGTGTGGATTATCTTTCAGGGAAATCGGTAGTTATGTTGGACAAAACCAAACAACTGCAATGCGGATATGTGACCGTTGGATGTAGGAAGGTACGACGGACCGACGTGTTCGATAGTATCCACCTCAATGTACAGCTTCACGTGATGACAGGAACATTGTGCGCATGGCAGTGACGGATTGCTCAGTCACATCACGAACCATAGCACTGTAACGCATCATCCAGTGTCTGCGTGTACCATTCGATGCCGTTTACAGCAAATGGTCTGCCCGCAAGACGTCCATTGCTTCGTCTACCCTTGACTCAAAACCACAGATGTCTCTGCCGCCAATGGTGCGATGAAAGAAGGATGTGGACGGCAGAATGGAATAAAATTGTCTTTACTGTCAAGTCACGCTTCTGTCTGGAACACCACGGTGGTCGGATTCGAGTCTGGAGACACCGTGGAGAGAGAATGCTGAACAGCTGCGTTATGCACCGCCATACTGGTCCTGCACCAGGTATTATGGCATGGGGCGGTAATGGATATCACTCTCGCACTCCTCTAATACGCATTGCCAGTACTTAAAAAGCCAGTGCTACATCCTCGAGGTGTTGGAGCCAGTTGTCCTTCCTTACCTTCAGGGCTTGCTCAGAGCCATATTTCAACAGGATAATGCGTGACCACACGTGGCACGCTTTGTCCAAGGGTTCTTTGTCAATCGCCAGATTGAATTGCTTCCATGGCCGGCTCGCTCTCTGGATCTTTCGCCGACAGAAAACATGTGGTCCATGGTTGCTGAACGATTGACCCAGATTACATCCCAAGCTGCACACCAGATAAACTTTGGCAACGTGTGGAAGCTGCTTGGTCTGCTGTACCCCAAGAACACATCCAAAGTCTCTTTGAATCACTTTGAATCAATGCCGAGGCGTGTGGCAGCGGTGATCTCCAACAATAGGGTGGCTACTCTGGCTACTGATTCTGGAAGGAACCACACTTCACGGAAATCTATAAATTTAATCATTTGGTACTTGGTCAACATATTATCTACTAAATAAATTTTGTTGTGATATCTCTTGTCTTTCTTGGTGTTGCAATTTGGGTGGCCAGCAGTGTAGATGTGATTCATTGTTGAAGAAGGTATATTGTTATTGATAGTTGCTGAATATAGATGTGATTGATTGTTGAAGAAGGTATATTGTTATTGATAGTTTCTGAATATAGATGTGATTGATTGTTGAAGAAGGTATATTGTTATCCATAGTGGTTGAATATAGATATGATTGATTGTTGAAGAAGGTATATTGTTATTGATAAGTATTAAAAAAAGTGGGTTGTAAATACAATGTAGTATTATAGGTATTACCTTTCAGAGCATTTTCTTTTTAAATGAGATAATCTTAATTTAGAAATCAAACAACAATTATAATCTTTGTCTGAGAAACAAGTAATAAAGAGTTTTCAAATGAGAACAATAAAGAGTTTTCAGAGTTCTTTCGGTAATAAAGAGTTTTAAATATTTAATTTAATCTTTTCATATAAAATTCATTTAACTTGAAAGGGGGAAAACTTAAAAATGTAGTTTTTGAAGAAATATTTCAAGATATGTGAAAGTAATTTTAAGCAGATGTAAAGTTTCAAGCTCTGTTGTATGAAAAAATAATATTGTTATATGTACTGATTTGAAGTAACAAAATTCTACCTTTGGAAATTTTTTTTATTTCACGTGTCTCTGACTGCCCTCCCTCAAAGGACAATCCATTACATTCTGTGTCAGGTAATATCTTCATTTATGATATTAATGATAGCATTATATCCTATATAATACATTTAATGTTTTAAGGAATGTTTAAACCATTATATTAATTTTGATTTTGCACTGTTGAATTTCTCTGGTTCTGGAAATATGACTTCTATTTTTAAATTGTTGTATATGATCAACATTTCAATTAACTTTTGTTTAATATAATAAGAAATACAGTTATAAAACTGTGTCTTAAATTATCTTAGATCTGAAGCTTTTGCATTATTGATTCAACTTTATGAAGAGAAAATAAGATACTTTTCTGTTAAAGCCATACCTTTTGTTGCTTTGGTGTGATGTATTTCCTGGGTGCCAAACTCTGTCAATTTAGTTAGACTTCTTTTGTGGCAATAATTGACTTTATTAAGATTGCTCTTGCAACCACATGTCTCTCTTTTACATTTATGCCTCTTTAAGCTTTTACCTGTCTTACGTGATTCCTTTTCAGTTCCTTTTTCCAATGCTTATCAGTTTTCTTATTTTTTGTTTTAGCTTTGCATATTTAATTTAATCATTTAAGGAAGATTAAATTTAGCTACTTTTTTTAATATTTGTTCTTATTTCGTGTTTCTTCTTTACTGAAAAGGATTTCAGAGGTGAATACCGACAAGAATTCAGTAGGAGTCAGAGTTTAATTTTTTTTAAAAAGGGAGAAAATGGGAGGGGTAAAACATCTTAATATTAAATGTCTAATAATATAAACAAATGGGAGGAAAAAATGTTTAGTATTGAACCAAAAGCATTAAGAGAGGAGAAATGCCTGGTATGGCTCTTACGTAAAAGTACCAAGAATAATATTCATATAGGGAAAATGTGAATTCCTTTTATTGAAAATATAAAACTAGTGTGATTATTGAGTTTAAAGGTGAGGCAGGTTTCCTGAATTGAAAAGTTTTTTCCTTTTTTGAGAGAAATTTATTGATGATAAGTAAACACAATTGTTATTCAGAAATTTTAATTATGTTTATGCGTATTTTATCATCAGGGCGAAATTGATGAGAGGAAGTCTTTGCCTTCTGATTTGCTGATTGAGGAAATCGTGAGAGGTGGAGCTCTTGAACCAACTAGAGTAGTATATAAGAGTATCACTACTGAACTTGTAAATAGTGGCTTAGCTTTACCTGTTCGAAAGTATGTAATAATTTAAGTAAATTCTTAGATATGTTATTTAACTGTTAGAATAAATTTAATAATTGGCTTTCATTAATAAGTTTTGATAGGTTAACCTGATTTGCTTATACTCCAGAATATGGTCATATGTGCCCATGCCAGAAATAATGGAAATAAGTTTAATTGTAATATTTCAACTTGTATTTGCTTAGAGTGCAAGTAATTGTTCTTCAGATATCTAAAAATGAAATCATGTTCAGATTAATAATATACAATTTAAGTGACAATATATGGAGTGCAGATGCAGTCATATAAAAATGTGTTTATTTTATAAAATTGCATTTACCTGTATTATCTGTCTCTGTTATTAAGTAATAAAGAATCTTGTATGTATGTACTTTGTATGTTCCTTACACTGTCGAAAAATGGCTGCACTTAGCGCAACTAAATTTTTAATGCCCGTAACTCCTTCACACGAACATGTGAATAGAATTTGAATTTATATATATATGTGTGTGTGTGTGTAATGAAAATTTGTTTAGTTGCAGATACTTTTCCATTTGGGTCAAGACAGGTACTGATACTGAGTAAATTGTAATAAAGCAAACAAGGATGTAATGCTGTAGGAATTTTGATTGAGTAGATACTGAGATATTTCATTTTGTAATGTTATAGAAATAATGGTAGCCTAGGTACTGAATATGTCCATTCATATAATGAATGAGAAACTTTGCAGCCGAAGCAGATAAAATATTAATTTTTTCGGTAAACATTGCGGCCACAAACAACTTAGCACTCTACTTAGTACTTATTTCAAAAACGTTTACATTTTGGATAGCTTTGCAGTAAGAAGTGAAGCAGCAATTTATCTAGGTCGAAGTGCATAAAGCAAGTGTTGTGTTCGAGATGAAATCTTAACTCATTAATGAGTTCTGAATTTTTCAGAATGAATTAGTTTTCTGTTTTTAATGCACTTGATTGGATAATTAATAATGCTGTAAAATTATTATTAGCTGTTTGAGTTTTAATTCCATTTACATCGCCAATGTTATGTAAGAGTCATATGACATGGATTAGTCTTGAAATGAAGCTCTGTGAAAAAAGATTTTACTATATTTGAAATAGGGAGGGGAAATGACCAAATTAAAATTAATCATTAAGGGGATATTTCTAATTTGAATTATAAATGTTATCATCTTTCATGTTAATTTCCAAACATTGATGAATAACAATTCTTGGAAAAATTTTTCTTTTCTCCCGTAAGCTAAAAGTAAAGCCTTGTTTCCTGCCAAAGTTGGCTCATCAAACTTTATAGAGAATTCAGATGTTTTTAAGTACTCACAGAAAGAACTTTCTGTGGACATTTCATCAGTTCTTCTTTGTACTGTATTACTACTGAGTGAAATTACTCTTATTATATCAAAATTGATTTATGCAACATAGTGCGTGTTACTTTACTAGTAGAAAAGTTCATTAATGGTGTGTGGCTTTCTGATTTTGCTAAATGTAGAGAAATGTTATAAGAAGCATGCAGTCCATTACCATCTCTCTTAGATGTTGTCACACTGGGTGCATTTGCAAATATTTTCCTTTGTTTGTTTTAAAAAAGTTAAATGTTTCATTTTTGTCACTATGGACTTTTGTCAAATATTAAGCTTCATTGATTTGTTTGATAAATTTTAATCCACAGAAGGCACAAAGGTAAAGTACTATATCCTGGTGATGGAATAAAGCCATATTTTATGTATTCAACACTCTGTTGTCTGCATTTTTTCTTCGAGCTTGTTTTATTTTACTCATGACTTCAAAATTATTTCCAGTTTCTTTTCTTTCTTTTTTTTTTTAAACTTTACTCATGATGTAAAAATTGCTTCCAGTTTATTTTTAGCTATTTATTAACTTTCATAATAATTAAAATGAGTTCTGGTTATTTTATTTAATATTAAACAATTTATGGACATAACGACATTGTCCACACACACCCAAATTAATTTTAATTTGCCAGAGACCTCCTTTGCAGTCATAAGTACCACTGTGGGTTCATAGGAACCACTTCAGGAATTGCTGGTTTACAACAGTTTTGAATGCAAGTGGTCATGGAGTAGAACAGGTGAAGCAGCTCAAAGTATTTCTTAAGTGGGTATTCGTTTAAAAAAATCTGATGTGTACACCACATGACTTCCTTGTGTGAAATATTAAATTATACATATTTTTTCCTGCATTTCATTTAAACTTATTGAGTTGAATTAAATCTACTTTATTGATAGAACAATAGAATAAATAGACTGTTTAAAATTCACTATATTTATTTACTCTATCGACATTCTGGTAAGAGGTTCAAATAACAGCATTTCATCTCATTCATTTTATAACTCAGAATGCATAAAAATTATATCATCTGAAAAATTATCGCTACATATTCTATTCAAATACTATAATAAATCTAGAAAGATATATAAAAGAAATTAAAGAAATAAAAAAGAACAGTTTTTCACAGACGATTCAGCGCCGCATACCTAATGCGCATCCGTAAACATTCTCCTCTGTCCGAGACAAGACTGGCGACAATATTTGTTCGTAATACGAAATACTTATTTCCTCAAATTTCATTAGAGATATATTTCTCATTCAATTAATTCTTTTCTCAGTTCGTGGTAAGGTAAAAGTATATAAAACATCTTCATTAAAAATTTAAAAAAAAAAAGAAAAGAAAAAACATGAAATACAGTTAAAACAATAAAAAAAAAAAAATGTTTACGATTGAAATTAGTTTCTACACAAAAAGAAGCAATTCAGGCAGCATGTAACAAGGCAGATTTTTCGGTGCACAAAAATGAAAGTTTAATTTTAGTTCCACTATGGAAAAAGACACTGAAGGTACAGAAACTGAATTCACTATTCTACCAAGTTTCAAATTTAAACAAATATGGTTGCTATGGTAAAAAGCAAAATTTGACTTAGCTGCACTTAAACAACTTTTAAATTATTGATAATTCTACAACTCTTGCACGTAAATTAACTTTAAAGGCATAAAAACCTTAACCAAAAGATAAAAACAACATAATTCGATCATTTTTAAAGCAAAAATTGCACAATTTATCAACTTGTAAGAATAAAAAAGACAGCTAGCTCACGGAGCTGAGTAACATAGTAGGTAAATATATATTTATTTATATGCTTTTGGTGTGGCCGATTGAAACTAAAAAGAGAGGTGCACAACTACATATTATATTAGTCCTATACACAAAATTTCAATGTTCTGAGGCTACTCGTTGTTGAGTTATGCAAGATACATATGTATGTACATACAAATGCCATGGAAAAAAAACTTTTCTGAATCCATTTTAAATCAGTTTTATATTCATTTGGGGGAAAAGAGTCCTTTACTCTGTCCTTATGTACAGATGTCACGCAAAAACATCATTAAATTGCATTCGATAGTGGTCAAAATGGATATTTTCATTGAAATATGACACCCAGAATTTTTCTTGATTACAATACACCGTTTGCTTTGTACAAGGAAGTAAAAACGTGGCGCTCTCTTTTGTGTGGAATTTCAAGTACATTCAAAAGTCTTTAATCCGGACGTCCATAATTCAGAATGATCTATAATCCGGACCTCAAAGCTACAAACTAACACATGCGCATAATACCTTTACGCATGCGCGTAATATGTTTACGATGTGCGTTTAATGTATAACAGACGGTATAAGCTAATCTAAAATTATCTAATTATCTATTTCAGTTAATGTTGCAGATTGCATTGTTCCTTAATCTTCTAATTGGATCGGGCTTATTATTTTTTGCAGACTGTTAGAACAATTTTATACAAAGTAAGCTTGAACTTTCAATTATGTCAAAAAGAATTTCCGATTCTGGAGCTACCAAAGGATCTACAAAGCGAAAGCATGTTTCAATGTCCATCAAACAAAAAGTGGAGTTGCTGCAAAAAATGGATAAAGGCATATCCTTTAATTCTCTAATCATTCCGAAATATGTTTATCAATTTCACGCTGCTCTGTGATGGGAGGGGGGGAATGCAGCGCGCGATGAACTGAAAAGTTGATCTGCCAGCACTATCCTTATCATCAGAGCAGATGTTTGTATTTTATTCGGCTTATAATTCCTTATTAAATGTAGTATTTCATCTCAATGTACTCCGTCTTTGATATGATTTAAATCAAATTCCTCGTCATTATAAATATCACGAATACTTATAGAAAGCAAGTGCATTATTTTCAGGGTGAAATCTTATTCAGACTAAGTTAGTTTTGGTTTTCAAAGGATTTTGATTGGATAGTTAATATTGCTGTAAAATTATTATTGGCTGCTTGAGTTTTAGTTCAGTTTACATCACCAGAATTACGTAAGAGTCATATGACATAGATTTTTCTCGAAATGACGCAGTGCAAATAGATGTTGCTATTTTTTAAAATAGAGAAGGGAAATTAATTTACGCTGCTAATTTAATCTTTTATATATTCTTTATTTTTCTTACATATGTATACACATATACATATAAATTTCAACAAAACAGTTCTATAACTGATTCAAAGCATACTGCTGGTAATTAAGCAAACTGAGTGAGACTGTCAAACAGAAAACAGCAGAATGGATTAACAGAAAAGGTTTAGTGTTTCACTATGATGATGCCAGACATAGCACAAGTTAAATAATTTGTCAGAAGGTATACATGAGATGTGTTACCACATTCACCATGTTTGGCAAATCTGGCACACTCGGATTATTATTTGTTTCCTCTCCTTTTTTACTTCCTTGTACGAAGTAAAAAGGAAGTATTGTAATCGCGAAAAGTTTCAGGCAGCATATTTCAGCGGAAATATCCATTTTGACCGCTATCGAATGTAATTTAACGATGTTTTTGCGTGATATCTGTACGTAAGAACAGAATAAAAGACTTGTTTCCTCCCGAAAAATTATAAAACTGCTTTAAAATGAATTCTGAAGAGAATTTTTCGTGGCGTACATACGTACGTATCTCGCATAACTCAAAAACGAGTAGCCTCAGAGCATTGAAATTTTGTATATAGGACTGCTATAACATGTAGATGCGCACCTCGTATTTTGGTTGCAATCGGCCGCACCAAATGTATATAAATATATTTATATATATATCCACTCTGTTACCCGGCTCAGTGATCTCAGTTTCTTTGCTCTTATATGTTTGTAAATTGTACATTTTTTGCTTTAAAAATGATTGAATTATGTTGTTTTTATCTTCCGGTTAAGGTTTTTATGCCTTTAGTAAATCTGTATGCAATACTTTTAGAATTATCAACAATTTTAAAGTTGTTTAAGTGCCGCTAAGCCTTTATTTTTATGGCGGCCATTGATTGTTTACATTTGAAACAGCAAACTAGTGGATTTGTTGCCAATCTAGAGAAACTTAGCTTTGCAACAACAAAGATAGCACCTTCATTTATTATTGCCAATTAAATCATGCTTAATCCTTTCTGGAATTGTTTCGAGGAAATAAGTCTTTAAGATTTACTTCGTAATTTTGAATATAGATATTTTGAGTTTTTATGTATTTTTGCCTTCTTGCGAAGTGAGAACTGAATTAATTGAATGAGAAATACTCAATCGTCTGTGAAAAACTGTTTCTTTTTTGTTTTGTTTGCTTAATTTCTTTTATACATCATTCTAGCTTTATTATGGTATTTGAATAGAACATGTGGCAGTGATTAGATAATTCTATTCTTTAAATGATATAAATTTTGTGCATTATGAGTTATAATATGAACGAAATATAATACTGCTAAGTGAATCTAGCGCCAGAATGTTGCTATGGTAAACACATACTACAGTGAATTTTAAAGAATGCATTTATTCTATTGTGGTTTATGCGGTGTCGGCGAAGTAGATTTAATTCAATCCAATAATTTTAAATGAAATGCAAGAAAAAATGCGTATAATTTAATATTCCGTACAAGGAAGTCATGTGGTGTACACATCAGTTTTTTTTTTTTTTTTTTTTTTAAAGAAAAAAAAAAGATAATTATGGAGCAATTTTTTGTTAGCAAAGGTTAGAGCTTTTATTATTATAGAATGATGCAGCTACCAGAAAGGTGGCCAAAAATATTAAACTAAAATGATCAATATGTAATTCAATAAAATATTTAGATATTATAATAATTTTAAATTTCATAATTTATATGTTATGATAATTTGTTCCCCCCCAAAAAATATGAAATTATTTTCTGAACAATCCAGTACATTAACTTGTGTTTTCTGATAAATAGTGTTAATTTCGTGATTTTTTATTTAGCATTAACTGTAATATAAGGTATTTTCTTGAGAATGCTGTTATTTAAAGGAGGAATGTGTTTTGCCACTTTTGTGATCCTAACATTAAAAGTTGAACTTATTGAATAAGTGATTTATTTCAGAATTGAGCTTCACAGAGAGTTGCTGTATGCCAGTTCTTGCTAGCCACTCACTTAACTCTTAATTAAGCATGATTTTTGACAGATTTTTTTTTTCCCTTTCTTTTTTTTAAGTAACAAAGTATTTTCTGTTGCATCTTGGTATTCCTTGCTCCCCTCCACATTCTCATCTATGTATAAAATCATAGTTTCGTTCTCAATTAGGTAATCTTAGGTTTCATTCTCATTTAAGCATTTCCCCCCACCACCACCACCAAATTAAGTTTTATCTATATTTGATGGCTTTATTTTATGAGTGGCATTTTTGAATTAGTTACTTTGTGGCATTTTTATTTTAATAAAAAAAATCATATTTGCTATTAGGGATATCAGTGTCATTCACCTTGATTTGGCTGTCAGCATTTTGAATTATTAGAAGGAATCAAGTTCTAAATTAACATGTTCAAGATTTACAAATTTATTTGAAGCCATCTAGAGCCAAATTTAATTTTTGTTTAAAATTACGAATTATGAGATATTGAAACATAAATCATTTTCTTAGATTTAGTGGCTTCTTTGTTTCAGGCATTAGATGAAGGAATATTTCATTCCCAAGTTCATAACAAAGTGAAAAATTAAAGTGAATTAACTTGTACTGTTATTTTTGCTGCTTTCTTCAGATATACAGGCTGCTATCCAGCTCTGTCCTTTATGCATTTCCTGGTAACAGTAATTAACACAAATGAGTTGGCTATAATTAATGCTAATTAGTTTGGTCAGAGAAGATTACAATCTAAATTTTTGTAAATATTTGAGCTTTTTAATTATATTTTAGTTTTTATAGATTTTTGTGATGTTATATATTATTTTATTGATTTTAGTGCATTTTGTATATTAATTTTATTGCATATTTTTTTAATTAATCAAATTTATATTCATTCACTGTGCTTGTAAATGTTTTTTTATTATTATTATTTATGTTGCTAATCATGTGTTCTAAATCATTCAATCTCTGCTCAACTGCTCAAACAAAGAGAAAAGCAAAACTACTCAAACAAAGAGAAAACATGTTTTTATATATTTGCAGATAGAAAATAGTGATGATATTAATCATAAACAGAAGATAGCAGTATTTGCATTGTTTGATGTAATGTAGTAATATGTTTAGATAAAGAGTAAAGGGATAATTCTGACATCTGAATTTATCATTTTGTCTTATGATAGGTATGAAAACATATTTTTATAAATTTTTGCTAATGACAGGCAGTATGAAGTGTTTAATGCAAAGAATATAATATTCATATAGAAATATATAATATATATTGTAAAAGTATTTCATTTGTGACATGTATTAATAATCCCCACATCTTTTTTTTTAAGGAATATTAAGGAATCTAGTCCTAATTCCCACAAAGAAACAATTTCTGGTAATGAATCTTTAGATTTCTTAAATGGTGCATTAGAAACAACACCAACCACCAGTGAACCATCAGCCTTCATTCCACCACCAAAAGAAGCATCTAAGAAAGAAAATGTTGTGCTTGATTTAAAGCCAAAATTTGTGTGGAAACGTGCTGTGCCTCCTTCTGAAACAAAGTTTAAAGCTTTTATTACAAATATTGGGGATGATGGGAGCATTCACCTTTATTCATTGTGTGAAGGTAAGTAAATATTTTAGTTAAAAACCATAGAAATTTTCTTATGGTAAAACTTTTATAGTTATGTAGTTCATAGAGTTCAGATTTGATTTGATAGTTTTTTTTTTTTTTTTTTTTTTTTTTTTTTTTTTTTTTTTTTTTGTTAACTAACTTCAACTCCTTGTGTTCTACAAAGTATACCACGAGACTTACACAAGTAAGATATTCTTATTCTGCAGCTCACATTTTTGTTTTTTGTATTCTTGTAACCGCTAACTCTAACCTTCAGACACTGCTTTGCTGTGCGATATTCCGAAGTTAGAAACTGCTGAATAAAATGATAAAGTATACAGTCCACAATGCTGTATTCTTAATATTTATTAATTAGTCACCACAAGGGAAAAAAGAAACAAATAACACACTTTTCCTGTCCCAAAACATAGTGCACATGATTTTATGAACTGAAATTGTTTGCTTGAACTTTGTTGTCTTGGGGATAACGAGGGCCACCATTGCATGGATTGCTGCTTAAATTCTGTTGTGGTGTAAACCACCCAGATTTTGTTGCCTGTGACAGTTTACAAATCATCACCTTCCTCACTGTACTAATGAAGGAAAGTTATAGCAGTATCTAAACATTTCATTTTGAGCACCTCTGTCAACATTTTCGAAACCCAGCATACACACAATTTTCGATAATTTAAGCATTTGTTCACAATTTCTTACAGAACACTGCGAGAAACCTGAGGAAAGTCATCAGTTGATGATGAAATCCTAAAGCATCTCTTCTGTTTCACTTGTTTGTCAACTTTCTGCATCAAACCTTCAGTAATGATAGAAGGTTGTCTGCTTCATTCCTCAACATGAACATTTGTATGGTCTGCTTTAAAAGCTCGGATTTGCGTACAACTTAATCACTCATATTGTTTTCTTTGTACACGTTACTACTCTGATGATGAGTTTCAGCCACTTTAATGTTCTTAGTACTAAGAAAACAAATCAATTGTATTTCATAGTTGGCAGAAACATTTTAAATACTCAAGGACACACATTAACATGATAAAAAATTTCATAATAAAGTCTGTGGCTTGCCAACAAATATAGTGCGCACATACAGAATAGCAACAACAGAGTTTCAAAACGAAGTTCTACATACTTGCAGACGTCACAAAAAATCCATTTTGAATCTATTTTAAATTCATTTTACTAGTCTATTTTAGCCAAAAGACTCCTCCACTCTGTGCATGTATTTATTCTGTGCATTCTGTGAACAGAATTAATACATGCACAGAAGATTTTCTGAACAGAATAAATACATGCAGCATATTCAGCCTGTATTCTGTGCATATGTACAGATGCCACAAAAAAATGTCTCCAAATGGATTTGGGAATGGTAAAAAAAACAGTTATTACTATTATTCTATTATTTATTTATTATTATTTTATATACTTAGCGGGAGATATAAAATCTGAAATATTCGTATGTGATTTTTTTCATCCAAATTAATTTCTGACTAACCTGTAACAATTTTATATTATCAAAAGTAAATTTTTCTCAGTAATTTGTAATTGATATTTTTTTTTTCCCATGTACTTCATTAACGAAAAAGTTTTCTGACATAAATATGTTGATCTAAATAAAAGTGAAAAATTTGCATTTATCTTCATTTAAAGGAAACCGTAGAAAGCCGGTAATCCACTTTAACAAACTTTTTCTTTTACAAATGGTATGACTGCAAATCAATAAATTCTATCTGAATCTGAACAGGAGCATTCTGCACATTAAGATTAAATAGCATATTTCTTGATAACAAATGTTTTATATTTTTTTAAAGGCTTTAAATCATCTGCCAAATAAAACATGTAACTCTTTTACTATTTTTCCATTGACAGAATTATCATTTTCAAGTTTTCTTGTCATGATTTGAAGTGTGGGAAAGGAATTTAACTGTTTCTAATTCAAATTATCAGTGAATAAATTTTGTCATAATACTCAGATTGAGCTCATATTTAAAGTGTAATGCTGATTCATTTGTAAATAAAATTAAGGGAAATTTTCTTTTTTTAAACTTCCTTTTCATATCAATCTTTTAATCTCAACTTCATTCATATTTCATTGTTTGGCTGCTATAAATAGTAGTACTATGGTCTTCAGTAGATGCACATGCGTTATTGTATCTGCTGTTCTCAGTTTAGGTTAACTGCTAGCATAGTTATGCCTATATATCTGCACATCTGTAACTTACCTTACTGCACATATACACTGTTTGATGGGGAATGAAAATGGGATTTCATAAAATGTCAGATTAAGTAATTAAAAGAGCCAGCTTTTGCTCATCTATGATTTAGACAGTTGGTTGAAACTTTCTTCTAAGCAGAATCAGTAATTGTATGTAATTTATGATTTTAAGTATCTGCCGGCAGTCACATCAGTGTTTATAATAAAAATATTAAAATTTTTTTGTATGGACTTCTGCAAATGAAAAGCTTTAAAAATAGTTACAAAGAGTCTGTCAGCTTGGTTTTTTATATTTTTCATTTAGGGGAATAAGATTTCCAGATTTCTGCTGTAAGTGTGAATTGAAAAGCGAGCCTTTATGACACGTAGGTAAACTGTATTTATACTTACTTCCACAGAACAAAACAACAGTATTGAAGAAACTACACAATAAAAATTCCTTGTACCAGGTGGCCCAAACTGAACTCGAAGCAAATTAAGTCTTCCATATCGGGTTCTGTTTATCTTGGGCTGGGCCTTACGGTTTGTGTAATCTTTTATCTTGTGGTATAACTTCATTTTATCTTGTTTTTTCATTTTATCTTGATAATTCATTTTATCTTGAGGTATAACTTCATTTTATCTTGTTTTTTCATTTTATCTTGATAATTCATTTTATCTTGAGGTATAACTTATTCCACAGTGAAATAAATACTTGAATTTGTCAAAACTTTTCCTAAAGTTTCAATTTTAATTTCTGAATTGCATCTCCCATTGGGCTGGTTAGAAAATTCTTCAGGTGATTTGTTTTTGATCCTTTGCATGGAGTATTTAACAATTAACTTCAGCTTTTTTGTGATCAGTTTGTGTATCATTATCATTATTTATCAATTAACTTCAGCTTATTTTTAATATTTACAATTTTAATTAATCTATGTAGAAATTGCTTAAATTTATGGTGTAAATGATTTGAGAAAGTAACCTGTATTTTTGAGAACGTAAACTAATATCTGTATTGATAATCACCTGTATAGAGGGATCTTATTCAGAAAATCTTCATCCACATATAAAATAATGTGTAGCTCTTGATTATTATTACTGCTATTCATTTTATTGTATGTTTATTCTAGTTTTGTTTTAAAAAATGTGTTATTTATATTTTCATTTTTGCAGTTTTATCAGTAATATATCATATCTAATTTTAGATCCAGTTACTGTAGATGTAATTAAGAAGGCATTACAGCTTAGATATGGTAAAGAGAAACCTAAGTGCCTGGAACAAGTTCCACCAGTCGGGGAAGCATGCATTGCAAGATTTTCTGTAGATAATTTGTGGTATCGAGCTGAAGTCATATCTGCATCTGCATCTTCATCGAAAGTAAAGGTAAATTCAAAAATTTTATAGTAAATTTTGCTGCTGAGTATTCTTGATTTATAAATAAATTTAATTTATCTTTTTCTGTAGGTGCATTTTGTTGATTATGGAAACAATGAACTAGTTCCTCTGAGTGATATTAGTACTGAAATTATCATGCAGCGTTTCCCACGACAGTGCTTAGAATGCATTTTATATGGAATTAAACCTGTAAGTGATTTGACAGGAAGAAATTAACCATGTTCAAAGTTATTTAAAATTATTCCTTAAAACAACTTTAGTTCAGCATTTATTTTGAATAAAAGTTTATTATTTCGATGACATTTGGAAGTAGAGAGATTTTTTTGGAACAAAACTCTGTCAATTTCAAGAGTGATCAGATACCGCTTCTACCTCTTCAGGAGCAAAAATTTTTTGCAGAAATGTTTCCGCCACCCCTTGTTTTGAAAGAACTTTGTCTGATTACCTTTCAAATTAATAAAGTTATATTCAAGATATACACCAAGCTAAAGTTGTTTTTCTGCCAAATTTTACATAGTTATATTTCTCTTCCATTTGATTTCAAAATTAAGTACTACAATTTTACAGTTGTCATTTAATTTTAAAGTACAGTGCATAGTTTTAAATGCATATATTTTCCATTGTGACTCCTTTCATAAAGTGCATAGAACTTCACCTTGTGAATTTCTGTTTGAAATATTTATGAAGACTGTCCTTGTTGATATTAAATTTAAATTCTATAGGTTGATAGTGCAACTTGGGATCAAGAAATTTTAAACTTCTTGCATAATCAATTTGTTGAGAAGGAGGTAACAGTTGAAATAAAAGTAAGTAATTATCTTAGTATTTGAATTTATTTAAACAATATTCCAGTTTATTTTCAACAAAGTAGTAAAAAAAGTAAACCAGAAGCTATTTGTTAAATCGCTGTGCATTGCACCCAATGCCATTTGCTTGTAATACATTAAAAAAAAAAAAAAAAAAAAAAAAAAAAATCCTGTAATTTAGTTTCTGTTACAAAGTAAGTGGAAATAAGGTAAGGCAAATCTGGTAAATGATGATTGATTGGTGTTTGATTTCAGCAGCTTTATTTGTCTTAGAATTAGAATGAAAGCAAAAATTATTTAAAATGTATTGTGTTTAAAAGTATATGAATGAATTGATTATAACATTCATCTTATCATGCTCTGTATGAAAAGTCATTATCTATATTTACATGTATAATAATCTTAAATGTATATGTATCATTTAAGATTCCATAAATACATCAAAACAGCATTACACGGCACCAAATGCAAGTAGTATCCATTCCACACTGCATATACATTGTCTCTTCTGGTTTGCGTACTTCTAAAATGAATCCAATTTTTGGGGTGGCAGGGGCAAGATTGGCTTTATTAGAATTTCAGATGATGTATTCATATACATTTGAGGCTACTGAGTGTTGAAATGCACAATTCATGAATGTCATCTGAATGCAGTTAACTGCCGATAAGCTAATATTAGAGTAGAACTAGGGTTTCTTAACTCATTAAGGGATAATCCAAACTGCGAACACAAGAAACATAATTAGAATATAGAAGCATATTTATTATTAGCTGCAAGAAAGGGAAAACATTGCACGATGATAAAAACGCTGTCAATTCTCTGTAGCAGAATGTAAGAAGTTACATAAGAGAGAGTTTCTGTAGGATCAAGTGTATTTTCAGTTAAGATGGCGAGGGTAAATTTGGATGGGCAGCGTCCTTGCTTTGTTTTCAGTGGCAGTTCTACAGTTTCCCACTGAAGGAACTATGCCATTTGGAATAAGATCAGTTCTTTTCACTACAAATTTCTGTTGTGGTTTAGGCAGAGAACATGTTTGCATACATCATTTTACTATTGCAGTGTTGCAATTTAAGGATCTCTTGGTTTTGTAAATGACATATGTAGTGATATATTCTATATCAATGTGTTTAGGGTAACTGCTCTCTTTTTATTTCCTGGGAAGATTTATGCAGGATATATTGTCCTCAAATATAATGTTAGCTGCCTCTTGAATGAAACCTAAGTCTCCCATTAGTTGTCTCATTCAGTGTAGCTTCTAAAGAGTTAAAGCTATGTATTCAGCTTCTGTCAAAGATAAGGTAACACAATTTTGTTTCTTGCTTATTTGTGGTACTGTACTGTTTCCTGTTTGAAATATATATCCCACTGGAAATTTTCTGTCAGAGTTGTCTCCTGTCCGGTCAGCAGCGCTGTAAACTTTGACGTCTGGTTCACCATTGATTTTAGATGTGATTTGTAATTGATTGTAGCTGTCAGATATTGTATAATTTTAATTATATCATCCCAGTCCAAGGTCAATGGAATTTCTGCAAAGTATTCCAACAGAATTTGCTATGCCAGTTCTTAATACTGTTGCCAAATATAAAAGTGCTCTTGTTTTTGTTGTTTGTAAAATTCATAGTCATAGGCGTATAACTTACTTTCTTTTCTGATTCTCTTTCAAATTTCTCCATTATTCTCTTAATCTTGTTAGCTTGATGAAGCTTAAAACTTCTTTTCTTTCTTTTTTAGTTTCGTTTCATAGATATGTAGATACTTCTCCAAAATTTTGAATGTCAAACTATTCTTTGAGAATTCGTTCAGCTTCTTGAATTTATTCACACTTCTTTCTCAGGACTAATATGTCAGCAGCATATGCAATTATATAAGTCCTTGTATTTTTCTTATTTAAGAGCAAAGAACATGGATCAGACCTCCCTTGAATATATCCTTTGTTTGTGTAGTATTTTAGCTATTTTGTGATTCCAGTTTCTGGTTGCCAGCTTTAATCCGTCGATACTTTTGTTTAATTTACAGATTTTGTTTGCTTCTTCTAAAGAGAAGCTTTTCCCTTCCTTTTGGAAGATCAACTAGTTCCCGTGCTTTATTTCTCTTTAGTGATTTCATTTCATCTTTCGTGGATTTCAACCATAATTCCATTTCTTTGGTTAAAAAAGTTTGCAATTCTTGCTACTCTTTAGGAATTTTAATTTCTTTGGTCTTTGCCATGTATGGAAATCTGGTTGGAAGGTTTCCTTTAGTCGTTCTTTGGAATCTTCTCGGTAATAGGGGAATTTCTTCTGTTTCAGTTTCTCCTTCTCTTGTAGCATCTCTACATGATTCTCTTAATTCATTTTCTTTAAAAGGTCATTGAATTCTCTCATTCTTATCATTTATTTGATAAGGTATACTTTCTTTTAGCTTTCATCTTCATCAAATATTACACTTCTTTTAATAAGAATGTTGTTTGTGTGTGGTATATAATTCTGTATCCTTTACTGTATCCAACAAGAATTCCTTTTTCTGCTCTTTCATCCAGTTTGTTTCTATTTTGCTTTGGAACTCAGAGTAAGCTGTGCTGATAAAAATTCTGATGTGACTTAAGTTTGGCTTTTTATTATTTCAGAGCTTGTGTGGCACTTTTTCAATTGATCTTGATGGCAGTCTCTTTTGTAGATGATGCTTACTACTTGATTCAGCACTCAAAAGGGAACTTTGTACGGTTTTGCCTCAAAATTCCCTTTTGAGTCCTAAATCGAGTAGTAAGCATCTTGTACTTTCCATTATATATCATTTTTTTTCTTTCTACTTGACCATTCTATTATGGTGAATGAGTTAGCGGTTTCATGTTCGATTTCTTCTTCTTTTAGTTATTCTTTAAATTCTTTGTTAGTGTAGTCTCTTCCATTGTCTGTTCTTAAGGCTTTTGACTTCTTTTCAAATTTGTTCTTTGTCATGGTTACAAATTGCTTTAACTTGGAGTTGGCTTCATCTTTTGTAAGTGCTAGTAAGTAGACTCTTGCCTATCTGGAATAATTGTAAGTGAATATTATAAGTATTTCTTTCCTCCTAGGAATGTCTTGCCAGTCAGTCCACATATGTCTGAATCTATCATGTTCAGAGTTGATTTTGCTCTTTAGCAGTTTAACTTGGGATGTGGCAATTCTGGCATTTTCCTTATGATGCAAAACTCACATTCTTTATCATTTCCAGTTTCTCGGTCAATTCTTATTCTAGTTGCCTGGTCATTGTTCTTCAATCTCTTGATTGCTTCATAATTTCTGTATATCTTCATATTGGCTTTTTCTTTTGCGATTCAGTTATTTTATATAAATGTCCTTCCGCTTTAGCAATTCCTGTATTTTTATTTTTCTTCTTTCTATTCTGCAAGTATCTACTTCAAATTCAACTGTAAACCCCTTATTTGTTATTTTTTGTATGGACATTAGTCATCCATTGAGGTCAGAAATGTATAAAATGTCTATAAGTTTTATTTCTATTTCATTATCTTAGTCGTCTATACAGTAAAAGTATCATTTTCTGATACCTTTGAACTTCATTAAAATAACATTAGCAATTGTTATTCAGTCCGGTCATATGACATGTGCCTCCTGAATCAACTGACCAATTAGAGTTTTCAAATTTTCTTTCTTTAGACGTAGTAATTTTCACTATATAACTCTCAGTCTTCTCAAGCTTTTATTTTTATTTCATTCCTTGGATGTATCCTTGTTTACAGCAACTTTTGGTTTATTTCCATAATTTTCTGTATTTTCTTGTTTTTTATTCTTGAAAAGTGGATTACTTTTGTCTTTTTCCTTGTCATTATTTAAGAATTTGCATTATTTTTCTAAATACCCTGATTTTTTGCAATAATTTTGCATCGTCATTGATTGAAAAGTTTGAATTTTATGTTAAAATTCATTTTGAAAGTAGCTGTCTCTTCTGTTGGCATGCTTTATTTTCTTTTCGAGCATTCATCGATTAGTTTTGTTTTTACATATTCTGACAGCTCTTCCAGGGATGCATCTAAATCTGTAATAAGATTTTCATAGCTTTTTGATTAGTCTCTTAGTAATAGTGCTGCAATAAGACTGTCATTTATTTCTGCACCGATTTCTCAAGGTTCATCTACAATCTCAAGTGCTTTGTTGATGCATGTTCATTTTCTGCTTTTAATGTATACTGTGTTCTGAGAATGTTAGTACAGTAGAAGTCCAGAAATCCGCAAAGCTTGGGACCAGAGGTTGTGTGGATTTTAGGATTTTGCAGATTTCGAAACAGAAAAGATAAACTATAATATTCATATTAAAAGGGCAAAATAAATGAGGCGTATTAGATACATTTAATTAAATTATTATATACATTATTGTAATAATTTATTATAGCATTAAATTATTATTACATATATAAATTGATTATTTTATCATTGTATATAGTTACACACAGCATCGAGGTTTGCCGATTTCGCCTCATGCAAAGATTTCCGGTTTCGGATTCCGGTGTTAGAATCACTGTTGCTGTAAAATTTCAACAACTTTACTTTATTTTTCAGTATATTATACACAGTCCGTGTCACAATTCCATACAATTCTGCTATAAACCGAGGAGTAGCACCTGTTTCCATCTTTTGCAGAATTTGCACTTTTTGCATTACCATCAATGCAAGGTGTTTCATTGTTGCAAGCAGAAAAATCATGAGTGCGTTTCTTATCTGTCATTGTATTAAAAAGCGCTGAAATTTAAAATAATTTTAATTTATCCACAAAATATCTGGATAAAAAAAAACGGCAGCACTAAACAATCTCGTGAAATAACAAAGCTCAGGAAATACAACAACGCGAATCGTGAACTTGAAAGAAGAGGTAAGTGAATCGTCTGCTTTTTTACCTTGATGCAGATTGGATGGAAAAAACTTTTATCATGATGTCAATAATTTAGTATTTTCGTTATGACCCATTATTATTCGGTAATTATGATGCCATTTTTGAGTAAGTATTTTTTCTTCGATATTTCATAT